TTATGGTATTTGTGTATATGTTGATGTTGAGGGTCCCGTAGTTGGAGGTTATCCTGATACTCTAATAATCATCTAGTCTCAAGTAGAGAGGGATGAATTATGTGGTGAGAGGAGCAGGAGGTCCTGGTCTATGTGCCGGTTTTGGACATAGTGAGGGGATTAACCTTGTGAATGGTATGAAGTATTTTGAAAGTGTATTTGTAAAAAGAAGTAGAAGTCATTACAAGTGCATAACCTCCCGTGACCGCTCATCAACGTATCATCCGGATGAGTGTTTATTGGGTATTGTGGTGTCTATTGGGTATTGTGAGACGAGTGTCTAATAGGAATTGTGGTATGAGGGTGTCGAACATAATTATTATATGATGTTTATATCAAGGTAATTATACATGTTTTATAAATGATTTGTTGCATGTTAGCTCACCCTACTTGTTTGTGTTTGTTTTGTTTGGGTATGTGCGATGATCGTATAATTCGTTATACGGGAGCAGATGAAGGAATGTCGTCTGATCCAGTGCCAATGAAGAGAGAGACAGAAGAATAAGTTAGAAGAATTCGAATTATGTTTATGAGTTTATAATTGAAATTTGAGTTTAAAACATGTGTAGACATATATTAACTATGAATTTATAAGTGTGAGATTACGAGATATTACCGTAAATGTAATGTTACAATATATAAATTATGAATTATCCAGTGTGAGATATTGGGATGTTACATAATTTAACTTTGGTTGGTTCTAAACATGTTTTTACGCTATAAATATAGAAAGAAATGAAGAGGAGAAATATGTTATACTTCTTAATTGACATTTGATTGAATAAATCACTTTTTACTTAATCAAACGTGCATTGGGTGATTATGAAGAAATTGTAGATTTGGCTGGTGCAAATTGAATTGTTGGGTTTTGAACCCTAATTTCGATTAGATGCATGAATTGAGTTAGAGTGCAGATTTGAAATGAGTGTTACTCCCAACATCATTCCCGGATTGCTCTGTACATCATCACATTTTTCTAAAATTATAAAACTAACTTTTATATTTTAAAAAATTCTACATTTCCTTTCTTTTCTTTAATAAATGTCGACAGTTGAAAAAACAATTCTTTAACAAATATACCACATTCATTAATGATGTGTCTACATCCGTTTAAAATTTATGTTTTTTTTCTAGTTTTTAGTTAATTAATTTATTGTATTAATAATAATTATTTTATTAAATAAAATAAAATTAAATTATGTAATATATTATAATAATCTATAAAGTAACTAAAATATATTATTTAAATAAACTAAAAAAATTTAAAAAAACTTAAACAGATGTGACACATGTTGATTATAATTAATTAAATTTTTTTATAATTTAATTTAATTAATAATAATTATTTAATTAAATAAAATAAAATAATTTATTATGTAATTATATATAAATTAATTTTATTTAATCAAATAATTATTACTAATTTAATTTATGTATTATTATTTAATTAATTATTTAAATACTTTTTACATAATTATTTAAACGGAGGTGTCTTAAGGTTTTATTTTTTTCTAGTTTTTAGTTTTTTAAAATTTATTACGTAATTATATATAAATTAATTTTATTTTATTTAATAAAATAATTATTATTAATTTAATTTATGTATTATTGTTTAACTATTTATTTAAATATTTTTTATATAATTACTTAAACGGATATGCCACGTTAAGTTTTTTTTTTATTTTTAGTTTATTAATTTATTGTATTTTAAATTAATATTTAAATATTAATTAATTTTTTTTATATTTTAAATTAATTTATAAAGTATTTAGTTTTTTGTTTTTTATAATATATTATGTAAATAAAAAATATTATTAAAATAAAATCTAAAATAAAAATAATAAACTAAAATATAAAAAAAAGTTAAAATTGCAAACGGATGTCAACATCCTTTACAGATGTCAACATCCGTTAAAGGTGAAATGGATGTTGAGATCTGTTTTATAACAAGGGTAAATTAGGTATGGAGTGGTGTATGGAACATTTGGTAGTGGTGGAGGGAACAACACTCATTTGAAATTGAGGCAAGAAGTGGCAAATCAGAATTTGGAGTAGCAGTTCAAACCGTTCTTTTAAGTAGGAGTGTTTCTCCTATACCACCACATGTTTCTTCTTACACCACCATAGTCAAAATTAAACTACCATGGTTGAAAACTTCAACGGAAATGAGAGTTTCGTTGGGCCTTTAGTGGATGTCCATATCCGCCAACGAATCTCTCATTTCCGTTGAGGCCTTCAACAATTCCTTTCTTTCACGACATACAACATACACAACAACGCATCTGGATTTCGAAGTGTTGAGGAGACCAAAAGAAACATCAACAAAAGCATACTAAGAGAGGAAGACGAAGAGAGAAAGAAGAGGGAAAGAGAGAATTAAGAAAATGAAATGTAAGGGTGGGGTGTGGTACTACCGTGAAGTGAAAAGGGGAAGGAATTAGGATTTGAAGAAAAAGTTAAAAAGTAAACGGAAGAGGAGGAGAGAAGGACGAGGAAAAGAGATAATTAAGAAAATGAAAATTTTGGATTTTCATCATTTTTACACTAAGATTATCACCTAGGCTACTTAGAAAAGACTTTTAGAGACGATTTAGAGTGTTGGAAAACTCTCCATCCCCTCCTTAGGTTTCTTTTTTCATCCATAGTGATTTTTTCTCTTTTCCTCCCGTTATTTTTATGTTTTCCTTTTCCTCCTTCCATTTCCATATAATTTTTTGGCATCTTGGTGTGTTTATGCCAACAGAGAACAAATTGTAGATCTACCGTGTTTAGAGGCTGCCACCAACATAAGTTCTTCCGAGTAAGAACAAAAGCAAGAGAAAAATGAATCGAGAAGCTTAAGGTGATTCTGGTTCAACAGAAAAGACACAGAGGAACTTCTTGTTATAATGGTTGGTGAGAGATAAAGTGACAGAAAAGAAAAGAAATGAAAAATGGATCATAACATAACCTTACAACACGAAGACATAAATCTAAATTCATATATAATATTTATAATATTGACACCATTTCGACTCAAAATCTTAAAAAATATTTTTTTTATTATATGCTATTTAATATTTTTATTTTATTCGATATAAAATTTATGTTCACATTTAAATTTTAAATACTTTTAGAAAATATTAAATACACTAAACTATGATATTTTCTTACAAATGTTACATTCAACATTTCTATACAAAATACTGGAATGGTTTCCTAACGCCGCTGGAAATTAAACATCTTCACTGATACAGCAAAGACCAATGCAAAAACTACTGCGAATGCAACCATCACAGCAGCAACCACTCCAAGAAAATCATGCCTGAACGCAAAGTAACTTCTCACAAAGCCTTCCACTGTTGTTGTCCCAGCATTGGATTCAATGGTTTGCTTTATATCTCCATATGGTGAAGCCACCAATCCATACAAACTCCAAGAAATTGGATTTGCCCAACTGTACCACCTCCACCATACTGGGATCCTCTGTTAGACCATGCCAAAAATGAATAATATAATAAATTTTCTACCTTCTATGCTTATAAAGTATGAATTACAGTGCACTGAATATGAAAGGAAGAAGAAACTTACTGGCCGTGGAACTATGAATCCTGAGAAGATATTCCACACTGAATAAAACCCAGCTGAAATTATAGTGGAGATGTGTTGGTTTGGGGTCATTGCCACTGCCATCATTCCATAGTAGGTGAAACACAGGAAGGAAAAGTACATGAAGAATAGAAACCAGAAAAATTTAGCCACACTCCATTCATAACCAATCATTGCATAAATTATAATGCTATAGACTGCAGCCTGTCCAAGTACATATGGGAGCTCAATCACAACCTGCAACAGAAATATAGATTAGAAAGAAAGAAATGCAGAGGTAAATTATTTTTCATTTACTTTCTATATCAAGTGTTGGGAATATTGTGATTTAGGATGATATCTAATACTGAAATAAAAGAGATGTAT